TTGTAGTGTGAACGAGCAGACAAAAAAAATCGGATTTGATCAAAAAATCGGAATTGAGCATTAAGACCTGCTGTGTGAACGTAGCCTAAGGGTGCCCCTCTGGGAAATGGCCCTGGCCCATACTTGACCCTGCACCTACTGTTTTTGGCCGCATGGGAAACTTACTCAGCAGCAGGAGGTGGGACTACTGGCACCTTTAAAAGAGGACCTGGGAAAACCCTCTGAGCTTTTTTTACTGCTATCTGTCCGGTGGGGTTGGTCCCAATCTGCATGCGCTTAAACCTGTACACCCTGGGGTTTTGCTTTGCTTGCTTTCTGCTATTTAATTCTCAGGTAAAATGTTTGTATGTATTTTTCCTCCTGTTCATATGATGCAGTGTATTAAACTGTTCCAAGAATACTACTCTTTTTCCACAGAATCATTTTCAATGCATTGATTTCAATTGAATCTAAAAAAAAAGAAAAGAAAAAAAAGCTGGACCTCCAAATCGCTGGTGAAGATAAGGTTATCATGATGGCTTCAAAATTTGCGACCACAACAGTCACAGAAGGCTGCTGCTGGAGCACCAGCTGTAGAGAAGTGTGTAAGAGATGAAGGAAGATGAAATCAAAGAGTAAGAGTATAGATGGAGGAACATAAATAGGATATGAGAGATTCAAGGATTTGGGTTAAATGAATGGCTACTTTGAGCATGAGCCCCTGCTAACAGCTAAAGTGTAACTTTTAATTGTCACATGCTGCAATGCAACTAAGAAATAAATAACAGCAACTGTACCAACCTGATTAAAACCTGTCAAACAAAATGAAATGCATAGATATATGTATCTTCTCCCAAAGTCAAAAACCAACAGACTTAAAAACTCCTTTGTCCCACACGCCATCAGACTGTTTAACTCCTCACTGGAGGGGAGAGGGAGGAGAAACAGGGGGACAAGGGAGGGCGGGAACAAATGAGTTGTAGGTGCTTTTCTACACTGTGCAATATTTGCAATATTTTTTTTTTGTTTTGTCTTTTTTCTTATATTTGACTGTGCAATAATCACTGTGCAATATACTTACTCAAATGAGCAATCCTATATATCCATATTGTATATTCTGTATCTATATATGTGTATATATGGTGTATTTATGCTTATATCCTTACTCTCATTCCCCTTAATGTATCTGTAACATGCAACTTCTTTCGGTGCTTTGCTACTAGAAACTGAATTTCCCGGAGGAACCCACCCGAGGGATTAATAAGGTTTCATCTAATCTAATCTAATCTAATATGTAGATATATGGCCCACTAGCCATAGTGAATTTTTGTCCCCGTCCAGCCCTGAGTCATACAGTAACAAACATAGGGGACTGCACTTCCAGAAGGGAACATTGCAGACATTGAGGTTAGCTAGGTGGAATCTCACAGGCAAATGGGAACCATGAAGAAGTTACTAGGAAAGCCACAACCACCAAATACCTCCAGAGGGTAAGGCAAGTCTTGAGGACTCAGTTGAATGGGAAGAACAAAATCCTGGGCTATCAACACCTGCACCCTGCCAGTCATCAAATAGCCTGCTGGGTTAATAAGCTGGCCAAAGGAGAAGTTAGATGCCACTGACTCTGTCCTATGCATGGAGGGTTTTAGTCCAAGATGTAGCACCCTGAGACTGTAGGCTAAGTGGAAGGAAGGAGGCTGAGGATTAGTGTGTGTCAGAATCGTGTCCAGGATGAAACAAAGATGCAGTACCAATTTAGTGAGGTCTTTAGAATGACTCATTACACA